AATTCGCACCTAATGTTGACTCTAATTGGCAATTATATTTTTGTAATTTATGTTATTCCTAGAATTTTTTATCTTTTTTTTAATTAAAAAATTTATTGAAAAATTTTATTAACTATTATCTTTAAATTACTTACAATTATAAACTATTCAATGTTGTCACTGATGTAATAATAATTATGCGAAACAATCATCATATTTAATACAGAATGATCAGAGTAAACACGATTCAATGCGAAAAAGTTCGTACACAAAATTCAAATTTATAAATATAGCCAATCGTTTCACTAGTCAACATACTACCAATTCATTCTGGTATAAGAAAAATAATTCATTAGCGCTACTTCAAATTTGCGCGAAGGCAACAAATAGCCACCCAGATAGCAAACTGTCGTTATTTTGACGTGGATAGTTTATCATTTTAAATTATTAATGTCATACGACCTATTTAAGATGTAATAATGACGTCATCTTTTTAACTAATTAGTGACATTATTTATTTATGACGCCATACTTAATGACGTCGAATAAATGGCCAATTGTCGATGTACTAGTAACATTATTGATGATCAATTAATAATGTCATACATTTATTCCATTAATAACACGAAAATAATTATGTATTTTTGATGTTTATGGTATTATGTGAATGAAGAAATATAAGAATTCACGTCATTTTTACGATGTTTAGATGTCAAGGAGTTTATTATAGTTCTTAAAATGAGATGAAAATTATAAAAATAATTGAATTTACTAGAATATTTGTAATTTCAACATCTAACAAATTTGTTCATTTTTATAATTTTCACTTCGTTTCAGGAACCATAGATTCGTCATAAGAGTAACTAATTAATGACGCCAAATGGATGACTTGCTATCATCAATAACACGAAAAAAATGACGTATTTTTTACGTCGACTTATGACGTTATGTACTTGTGACAAATCCACATCATTTTTATGATGTTTGGGTATCATTTTAAACGTCAAATTTGTTATAAGAATAACTAATTAATGATGTTAAATAGACGACATCTTGCTACCTGGGCAGGTATTACGCGAAAAATGTGTTTCTAAATATCAATTCATTTTGTCCCGCTCTATCTATATTTGACAAGAAGCGATCGTGCATGTGATTGTGATATTATATTTTTGAAAAAATTTTAAATCACGAGAAAACTTTTTAATAAGAAACACGTTTCGTTCTTCAAAATGACTTTAATCAAAGTTATAATTTGATCAATATATTCAACTTACCAAGAAATATTTACGTTATTTTGATAAAATTTACATCAACATCTTACATTATAAGATTATTAATATTTGTTAACATATTTGTAATGGTTAACATATAGAAAAAGATTTAATTTGGGATAATGAATTATATTAGAAATTTTACTTAAATAATTCGTCGATTAAATTTATCGATTAATCTTTTGTTGCAGAATTTTTTTGTAATATCTATATTTGGTTAAGTTTCAGAATGTATGCCTAATAGTCTAGGAATATTTGGGGTGCAATTGCTAATTGCGAATTTTAAGCAAAATATAACAAGTCAAAATAACAAATTCAAAAAAAGATAATCAAAAAAATTTAATTATACAGCTTATACACAATAGGCAACTGATTTCAAATTTACAGTCAATATTGGAAAATTGACAATCTCTAATACCGAAGAAATCTTTGATACATTTTAATAAAATGTTTTGCTTCTAATCGAGAATTAATGGCGAAGATATAGCTAGAAGTCTCAAATATAAATATATCGCAAATATAAGGTTACACTTTCATACAAATAATTGTTCAAAATTTTTAGTTATTTTATTTACTACAGATGTGATGTTTTAAACTTTCCATTTTTTAGTACAGATTTAAAATCAGCGACTTCAAAAACATTAATATACAGATTTTCAGGATATGTTTTTATTTATCGTTTTCCTTTAATAATTTTTTTAAGTATTAATTTTGATTGATATTTATAACTTATACTAATACAAAATAATTACATTATTAATGTCTCAGGAACATAAAAGCCAAACATAATATACAAACCAATTATGAAATGCGTAAAAATACGAAAAAATTGCAAAAAGAGACAAATGAATAAGTTAATTCGTATTTGATGTCAAAGTCTTTCTAAGAATTAAAAATTTCCGTGCATTAATGTGCATTTTTTAAGGATTAATCCACTGCATTGGGAACTCATGCTGGTTATTCACACCAGTTGTACTGTCTTGATATTAAATTTCCACTTTTCTCTTTTTATAAAGCAAAAAGTATATTTTACATAACATTATATTATAGATTTTTTTAATAATTATTTGAATTAATGGACACCTCGCCGATAACCTGGACCTTAACATATATTGTCGAAGTCATGCCCTGAGTGACTTTTAAAAGGTGGCGGTCACTGTTCATTCAAAAGTTATCAACAAATAAACAAACAATATTAAGAATCTTTATTTTAAACTGCACATGTGAGTATACATTCAATACTAGAAATTAAATTCAATATAGAAATAAAACCTATAACGGTCGAAGCTGAATTTTTAATGCTTAAATAATTCAATGTGAATTATAAATATACCAGTATAGGTATATATATGTGTGTGTATATATATATATATATATATATATATGCATATACATATACATTATACCATATTCGTAGTCATTCAAACTGCACGCCGAATTGATTTTCCGGATTTATAAACGAACAATTAAACTATTGTAATAATATCACGAATTAAATTAAATAGACAATTTTTTAATAATAATTTGATGCTCGATCAGGCATCATATTAGAAAGATGTTAATGTATTGAAATAAAGTTTAAAAGATTATATCTTATATATATTATATTTCTATTATATACAATATTAAAAACTATCCTATATCCTTCTTGCCTAGAGCGTTTAACTTTCTACACGAAAGGATTCACCTACCCCCTATGATTAGGAACACACGACTTTTCATGCAAAACGAGATCCACTTCACTTTTCTCCCTGCTTAGGGGCATTCGACTTTCCACGCGTAGGGAGGTTCATCCTACTTCTTCCCCTTAGAATCGTTATGCCTAATACCTGGACGCAACAAGCGTCAATCAGCGAGACGATATTTACAGTGACATAAAAAATATCGCCTTGCTGATTGGTTGCTACTCCGCTGCTTGACATTCAACGCCCATTTTCAGCACCAAAATAGGTCAAAATTGATGCTTGATATTCATCAATTTTTATCATATGACTTATTTTGACGTCAAAAATTAGCGTCAAGCGTCAGCATGAAAGGATACCTTTTCATGTTAGACTGTCCACACTAGCAAGATTCATTGTATGAAAAGTCGGTACGCCCTTATACAGGGGTGAGGAGGGGTAGTCCTCGTTACGCGTGGAAAGTCGTACAGCCATCAGTATATAACAGAAATAAGATATTACTTTTTAAACTTTATTTATTAATAACTTTTGAACGATCAGTGATCGTCACCTAAAACCTTTTGAAGTTCGCTCAAGGCATTAATGGACACCGATGGACGCCCCAATGACCTTCACTTTGACAATATATGTCAAGGTCATCGGCGCGGTGTTAATTCCCATTAATTATTCTTCTTTCTTTATAAAAAGTTAAGTGGTTTTAATTGTATCGGCCAACAAAATATTGAACAAATACAAAAAATGTTTTGTCGATCTGCTTATTTTATTATAAAAAAAAAGAAAGAAAGAATATGTAATATTTAATGAGTGATTTTCATACGTCGATTATTAACTTTCCATTGACAATGTACAATCTTTGTTGCCAAAATGGAGCGTCTTTACAGCAGATGTTTTTATTATTCCAGATTTTATAAAAATTTGAAAAAAATCTTGTGAACTACTTGTGAGCCTTTAACAAGATTTTAATATGATAAAAACTCGATTGTATTTTACATATTTTTTACTAATTTAAATGTAAAAGTTTTAAAAAACGTAATGTCGGTTAAAAATTTATAACTTTTATATGAGTGAATAAAAAAAATCTTTTTAAACTACAATAATTGAAAATATATTTAAAAAAAATAGTATAATATTAGCTTTAAAAAGTTGAATTACTTGTGTACCTAAAAATAAAAATGTATATGATTAAAAAATCAAATCCTTTTTTGAGTAAAAAATAATAAAATTAATTTTATCGGATTAATTATTAAATTTTGTTTGTTTTAACCAAAATGAATAAAAAAATCCAAAATAAAAATAAAGTACAGCACAGCCTATACAATAATATGTGTAATGCTCCTTGCTAGCGATTTGCTATATAAGGTACAATATATAATTTTCCTATTATTTGATCAATGATGAAACAAACCTCTTTTACATTCCTCTAATTTATCAAGTATTTCTAAAGAAGTTTTTTTTTCAAAATTTTGAGTAACGTTATTATATATATTATATATTATATATATATTTTTTTTCGTGAAATATATATGTGTCCGATATCTTCACAAATATTAATTTATGATAAGCAAAAAAATGATATAAAATTGAAAAATCTAATAAAATCCTTATGTTCTTATTAAAATTAGGGTCAGAAAGATGTAAAACACAAAAAAATATCAAACTTTTATTTGTACAAAACTTTACGTTATCTGTAATGCAGATCGTTAAGGACACGATTTTTATTCGTCTTTGCAACGAAACTAATAAATATTGACGTCCTTGTATAAACACAACATTACTAGGGCTGCGTTCCACTTAACACTCGCAATGCTCGCGAGCATCGTTTGTCCTTGTTTAATATTTGATAAACAACAAGGTTAAAATAATCCCATGAGCGTTGCGAGTGTTAAGTAGAATGCACCTTAGTTGTATATTTTTTTAGAAGGCAATACCGAACTCTGCTATGTACCCATTTTCTTTAAAATTCACAATAAAAAATTGTGTTTTAAGAGGATAACATTGCCGATGAAGAGTTAAGAATCATAGAAAATGTTCGCAAAGTGATTACGAGAAAAAAAAGGATTGCGGAGAATTATCTCGAAGCATAAACTCGATAACAGCACATAAAAAGGTGCGCGCTGTCAAGATGATTCACAACTATTAAGGTAATCTCTCTCGTTCTCCAAAGCAAATCTTCGTTTTACATTACCTCAACTGCCAACGGGAATCACATTTCCGGCAAGAAAACATTCCACAAAGTTCTCTCGTGCATGTAACTTTCTATAAGTCGAACGGTGTGTCTCCGATTTCGAGCTATCACTCACCACTCGCGAAAAAATACGACGAAAGTATTATTCCTTTCCTCTTTTCTTCCTTTTTTCTCTCACTTTCCATGGCTCTAGGCAAGCAAAGGATAATGGATCACGTCATTACGGTTGGCGTTGTTAGCATTCTCGATTCGGCTCATCACGACGACAAACAGCAACGTTACCAAAAACACGACACGACACGACACCAAGCGGAGAGAAACGCGTTACGACGGAACTAATAAAGATCTGATTCGAGCGAGACTCGAGCGAGTGGCACAGCTGGTCTCGGATCTTACATTAGAATTCCTGTGATTTTCCCGGCGGAACCAGCCGACGAGATGTTCGCTATACGCCGTACTCAAGAATACCGTTATCCTCATCGTCTTCGTCGTAGTGTTTGTTGTAATAATGTATTACCGCACCATCATGCTCGTCAAATCGGATCCAACGGTCATCAGACAGACGCTGAAGTGAACGTAAAAAACAGTTATTGATACCGAAAGCTTTTGCAGATTCGTAAGAAGCTTCGCCAATATTCCTACATCTATAACAATCTATAAATATCAGGCTGTTGAATGCAGTCCATCATGGCGCGGCACGATCGCTGCGCCAACTGCGCTAAATATCTCAAGACTCGGCAGCTTCTCGAGTGTATTTTCCAGGCTGGAAAATAGAATCGAGATACGTAAGCAATAAGAACGTATCTCTCGACGGTGATGCGTTTCGTAAAATATATACGAACGATATGTTATACTATCCATCTTGTCTAAAAAATGTCTAAATAATACAAATTATATCGAGTGTCTTCGCACTAACAATATAACTAAGAAAAATGAATTATTTTTTAAAAATAAATTAATAAAATCAATAATAAAACTTTTATAAGATTTTTACCCTAAAAAAAATGACTTTTGAAATTGGAAAATTATAATAACATATTATAAAGAAGTCTTTATTACATAAAACTCTATATACAAGGGCAATAAGTCTAGTATGTTGTTAATTCAAATATTCTATTTTATTTATTTATTCAAATCAAATCAAATATCATTATAAATAAATTCCGTATGTTTCGATTCTCACAGAACCATTTTCGGTAGAAAAGGAAACTTACAAATTTATGTGGAATAATGTAGAGTCGGTCTTGTCTCATTTGTTAGTTGAGCGCTTATCAATTATATAAATTGTGATTTTTAGTAATAATAGAATATCTAACAAGAAGTGGCAATCCATAGGCATGTGGAATGAGTTCCGTTGAATTTTTTCATTGCGGTTAAGAGATATGGACTTAGAAATGTTATATAGAAGTTATCGACGGAAGCAGATCGACAGAAACAAACAGAATGATTTTATTAGTTTCAAGAAGAGACAGGGAAAAGCGGAGAGGAGAGAGAGAGAGAGAGAGAGAGAGAGAAACATGCTGCAATATCTGGATGTTGTGAAAATTTCGAAAATTTTTATTTGAACAGTTTTTCATAAAAACCAAATATAGGACCACTCTTAAATCTGAATTACGACATCAAATCATTCTCTATCAATAGCGTTAGATAGTGAACAATTTAGTTTTGACAAAAAAACAGAAAATATAAGAATTTAACAAAGGATGTTTTGTTAAGATCAATTTGTAAAATTTTGCAATAAGTAAGAAAATTATTGCTTTATACTTTAAATAATATTTCTTTCTTTTTTTCATTAATGTTATAAAAAATAAATAAATGTAAAATGTTATGGTATAGAGATAATATTGGAATAAATCTAATGGGCCTTCTACAATAAGCCATTAGTCATAAATCAGAAGTCAGAACCTAAAAATTGACAACTGTTATTGGTCATATTGTTGAAGGCCCAATAGACATATAAGATAGACTCAACATATATAGTATACTTTTTATAGTATACGCTGGGTTTAGCAGAACGGTGCGAGAGGCAAAATATCGGGACCAACATATCCTCTATACGTGCATTGATATTTATATTACTGAAAAAAATAAAATAAGATATAAAAGTTAAGAGAAATATTTAAGAATTTTACCTTACTCACTGATTTTGATAAAATTAACAGAAAATATTTATTCTAGCCTCACTTACATGGTCTCATGTCCCTCTATTAAAGCATTAGATATGTAGGTATTTTCATCTGCCATTTTGGTTCCACTTGATTGTTAAGTAAAGTACGATTAGTGACAAAGGTAAATGTTAATTAAGAAAAGCCCGCTCACCTCAAATTTTGATAAAAATATACTGAATCGATGCGTTTTTGCGTAAAAATCGAGATTTGACAAGAAAAAAGTGTCGCTCTGTTTCACAAACTGAAATATTAATCCTTAAAGTAGACGATCATTCTGGTTAGAAAATCTGTCATAATAACCCTTACGAAAATGAACTATTAATGTAACTATTTGATTATTCAGTCGTAGTTTTTTCGCGAGAAGAACTATTGAGAAGACCTACTATTAAATTACTGGAAAAATTATTCAGATAATTATTGGAAAAATTAATTAATTCAGTGTTATGATATAGATATGTTAAAATAAATACGTAGGCTGCTGGAAAAGTTCCTGCAATCTAATATTTCCAGTGGCGCCAACGTTCTGCTACTATCATATCCGTAAAATTAGACGTTTTTAACCTATAATTCAATTGACAGTTTGTACCCAAGCCAACTAGTTTTGTTTGCATAGTATTTTAAAGTATTTTAAAAGAAGTTATTTTGTAAGAAAATGGAAATTTCGCGTGAAAATTTTCGGGCAATGATTTTTTACGATTACAAATGTCATTTAACTCCGAAACAATGCATCGATCGACTTCATTTGGCTTTTGGGAATAAAGCACCATCCAATAGGACTGTTTATAATTGGTTTACCAAATTCCAGCGTGGACGTACCTTTCTTAGTGAATTCCGTGAAGGTCGTCCATCCACGTCTGTTGTTGCCACTAATGTTGATGCTGTGTGTGAAATGATTGAGCGAGACCGGCATATAACATACTGCGAGATTCAGGCATCCTTAGGCATTGACATGAAAGCAATACATACGATTTTGCATGATCACTTGAGCGTACGGAAACTTTGCACTCGTTGGATCCCACACAATTTGACCGAAACTCAAAAATAGGCTCGTGTTAAATGGAGCAAAGAAATGCTGAAGAAATTCAACCGAGGTCGGTCAAATTTGGTCTACAACATCGTTACTGGAGACGAAACATGGATCTATTCGTATGAGCCTGAAAGTAAACAACAATCCACTGTTTGGGTATTTCAAAATGAACCGAAACCAACAAAAGTTGTTTGTTTACGCAGTGCCAAGCAAATGATTGCTTGTTTCTTCGGTTATACCGGATATGTGACAACCTTTAGAGAGCTTTATAGGATCGAAGGACTGTAAATACTGATTGGTATACAATAATTTGTTTGCCAGAAGTCATAAATGAATTGCGTAGAACAAACCGAAATCATCGTATCATCCTTCATCATGACAACGCCAGCTGTCACACAGCACGTCAACCGTTGATTTTTTATCCAGTAATAATGTCGAATTGATGACTCATTGTCCGTATTCACCTGATTTATCACCTAATGACTTCTTTTCCCAAACATTAAAAATAAGATGCGTGGTGAGCGATTTGAGTCGCCTGAAGCAGCTGTTGAAACATTTCGTACACTGATTTCTGAGGTTACAGCCTTAGAGTGGAAAAAATGCTTCGAAAATTGGTTCGAGCGTATGCAAAAATGTATCGATCTTAAAGGCGAATACTTCGAAAAACAATAAAGCCATTTACCGAATTTTACATGTTTTTTTTTTATATTATCGGGATTTAATTGCACGATGCTCTCCAACGCTCATCCAAAGCTGTACCTCATCTAGTGTTGCTTAACCTCTGCGACCGTATGGGAACTGCTTCTCCGATGACCCACGAATTCTAAATGTTTATAGATGTATAACTACAACATATCTGGTCAATAGATATTGCCAAAAAGCTCAAAAAGTTTTAATTTAATTTGTTTTAATTTAATTTTGTCCGACGAATAGTTTGACTACAAGAATGACTATTACAGATACTTTGATTACTGATATGGCATTATAGTCTTTCGATTATAGGCTTAATGAATTATAATTAAGTGTAATTTATTTAAATACGTAATTATTTAAATAGTCATTATTGTGGATAGTTCTAACTCACATAGCATGTAATATTGCAGTGAGATTACAATATTGCAGTAATATTATAACTTGCAATGCATTACGTAAATACACTACGTAATACTACTAAGATATTACATTGCGATGTATTACAATGTAATATTGCAATAATTTTTTTGAGATATTGCAATGTGATATTCTACAATATTACTACAATGTCATCTAAATATTACAGTGAGATATATCGCAAGACAGCATTACCATAATATCATCCAAAAATATTGCAATATAATATATTACACTGAAGTATTACTGCAATATCGTTGAAATATTACATTGTGATATATCGCATTGTAATATTATTACAATATTCAATGCTCGCAATGTGATATATTGTCCTATAATATTACAGCAATATCGTTCAATTATTACATTATAGTTTATCGCATTGCAATATTACTGCGTTGAAAGTTACAATGCATTTTATTACAGTGCTATCTTTTTAAGATAAATAATACGATTTTTAATAAAATTATAATTTGCAATATTGTAGTAATATTTCCAATAAAATATTATAATATATAATAATTTTATTAGTGCAGCAATATCGCTGCAATTTTTATAATATTGAAATATTGCTGCAATGAAGAAAACGTTCAGCAGTCCTATAGGAAAGAATATACAAATCGAGTTGGCGTGTCTCCTGGAGATTCTCAACCTTTTTTGGAAATGCTTTCTAGGTCTCCGAACGTTTTTTTATCATGACTTTATCATACGTACTTTAGCGTATAATATTAAACAATAATACTTTAGCAATTAATAAAATTGAATTAATTATTGTAATATATATATCATAATGTTGCAGCAATAAGGCAAAAATATCGCAGAAATATTACTATGAAATATTAAATTTTTTGCAGACATTTCTGCGATGGTAGCGATGTTTATTATGGATGCAACGAATCGTAAAATTACCGGATACCAAATATCGGATATCCGGGCACAATGTAACATTGGATATCCGAGAAGGCAATATCTTAGAGTCAGATATCCGATATTTTCCGGATATCCAACCGGATTTTGAGAAAGTATCTTCTAAAAAAAAAAGTCTATAGGGAAAAAAATTGTAATGTTGCAACAATGTATAAGATATTATAACATCATGAATATGCATACTTATTTTTAGAATTTTTATATAAGAAGAAAATCAACATTTAATGATATAAAATTTCAACCGGATACTTCCCCGGATAATAGTGATATCCGGCTACCTCGTCAGTTACGTAGGTCAGATAGTAAAAAAGTGCCGAATAATACCGGATACTTTTCGGATATCCGGTGCATCCCTAATATTTATACTATGTAATATTACTGCAATATTAGATAGAAATACTATTCTATGTACTATTAGTATTTATATATACTGTAGTAATATTGCAGTAATATTTTATAGTACAAATATCGCTACAATAATTAACGTTGACAAAAAATTCATCGCAGAAATATTTTCTACGATATTTCTGCCATATTGCTGCAACATTCTGATA